TTTTTTTTATTATGTTCAGATTTTATATTTAATCTTAATTAAAATCAATAAAATTATAAACAGAACAAGGATTATTGAGAGAAATCACAGCTATTATCCTGACCTGATCCATCTATATAATATTCAATCAGGCTAACAGATCACGTCAGATCAAACGTTGGTGGCCTATGTATGATGTAATATTATTTTCTTTAGTATAATTTCAAACATAGAATGATACATCATAATAAGGTTACAGAACTTAGTGTATTAAAAAAAGTGGCCTATTGATTAGAGTCCATCGGGTTCGGATCTAGAAATTTTTGGACTCGATAGGCTATACTATTGACAGCTCTAGTAGGGTGTTGCTAATTGGTCACACGAGTCTCTAGTTATATCATTTAGTATGGAATTTCAATTGCAAATTTTTGATAATAAAACTGTTTTAGTTGAGTGAAAATTTGTACATATTAATAGTGCAATCCTTGATGAGCCATGAAGTGTTTCCTCAAAGACAAAAAAAAGAATCGTACTTGACAAATTTTCGAAGAATCATTTGAAAAATTGATAATGATTGTGAAAGTTTAATTGTAAAACTCCATTGTTCTGCACGATGTGATTTAACAACATCATCAAAATTTAATTGATCAATTCTTGAAATTTTTTTTGTATTTCATTTATTAATAAATTACATTTAGATATTAAACGATGTATAAATAAAAGAACAAATATACAATCTTGATCAGCACCATGTTTAAGAAATTGTTCAGATAAAAATAATGTTAAGAAATGAACATGTCTTGTTAAGATTTTGTACATCAAGTTTTTTAAAATTCATTTTCAATTATTTCACCATATGTTTTAGTTTCAACAATTTTGACTTTAAATTCAATTGATTGAACTGAACCAACAAGTTTTAGTTGTTCATCATATTTTTCAATTTGTTTTTTACATTGTTCATTTTGAAACTTGAAGAAAAATTTTTTGTTTTTTTAAATAAATTTATTAATTAATAAAATGAACATACTTGTATATTTTTAACTGTTTCACGAAATTTTAATATTGTTCGTTCATGATC